GAGCCTTTGTCTTATCCCATACCAGCACAAGTGACTTAGAGGGATACAAGCATGGGCTTTGGAGCTAGAAAGCCCTGGGTTAAAACCCTCTCTCTTCCACATACTGGCTGCATTGCTTTGGGGAAAGTATTCAACCTCTCTGAGTCTCAGCTGCCTCATCTGTAAAATGGGTCCACTAACAGTGCCTGCCTCACAGAGGTGCTATGATGATTAGCTGAAGGAATGCCTGTAAACAACACTTAGCTGACACAGACCCTGACACAGCCTGTACTCCCTGAATGGGAGCTATCGTGATGACAGCCATGATCTATGCAGAACTTCTAGAAGTTTCTCTACCTCATTAGGCCTCCATTTACTCAATTTGAGTTCCAGCAGATAAAAGAAGAGAAGGCCAGGGATGCTCCCTGGTATTGTCTCCAGACCCCTGGACCACTCTACACTAAGCCTCAGCCATTTAAACAAGGAATTCTAACCCCTATCTCCTCCAGCAGCAAAGCTCACCAGCCGACTTCACTGGCTTCTTGAGGCCTTCAGAGGCCACTAAGAAAGGTGACCCATGAACATATATATGCCCATAGTCTCATGATAAATGCAGGCCAATATTAAACAGAACACCAGCACTCAATATGCCTTATGTTGAATACAGGCACACCTTGTTTTACTGTACTTCACTTTATTTTGTTTCCCAAGCATTGAGTTTTTTACAAATTGAAGGCAAGACCCTCCACCAGCAAAAAGATTGTGACTCGCTTTATTGAGATAACTCACTTTATTGCAGTCGTCTGCTACCGAAACTGCAATACCTCCGAGGTATGCCTGTATATGCTTTACAATAACTGCTTGGGATGCAAATAGCCAATGGGTCTGAAACATAGCAAAGTCATCATCAACGCTGGAAAATCACTTAAAGCAACTTTTGTTTCCTTCCTCTCTTCCTCCCTTCCTCTCCTCTCCCCCTCCTTCATTCCCCTTCCGCCTCTTGTATTGAAAATGTCAGCAGATCTGGCATTTTTTGGTTTTGGTTTTTTTAATAATTCTCCTTCCAGACTGGTGGGTGATTATCCTCATTCTGCTAATGAGAAAACTGAAGTATAAAGACTAAGTTATTCGTTAAAGGATTGGACCAACTCACAGCCAAAAATGTGCTTAGTCCCCTGAGTCCTGAAATCTCTACCTGGCTCACCTGTCCTCAGTCACCTCTTTTTCAGTGCTCAAAGATCAGTCTTTTCTTTTTTTTTTTTGCATTGTTTTGGGACATCCCCCCATGTTACTGACCTCTGGTTTCATGCCACCACTGGGCCCAAAGGCACTTTGCAAGCATCTCAGGTTTTGAGAGATATCCTCCCTAAAGTTGTGAAGTCCCTGAAAATGTCACCTAGTTCATAATATTGGGGTGTGCCTGATTAGGAGCCAAGGAAGGGACCTCATCTATCAACCCCCAAGCTTAAGAAGGCTCTTCCCTTCCCTGGTTCATCAGGAGCCTTTAGCAGCATGGAACGAGGGGGCTGCTTACTATCTACGTCTGGAAGTTTTGCTGGAAGATGGGGAAGACTTTAGTGAGTTGTAATTGCCTTAAGAGAGCTAAGAAATACTGAAGTTTGATCCCATCAGCCTATCCCTCGGGAGCCTCCAACATTATTCTTCTCAGAAATCAAATCACAGTCCATGTACCATCAAAATGGGACGTGCATCTGCCATGTGGGTTCATCAAAAATAACCTTTCCCTTCCCAACTCAGGTACTGTTATTTACAGCTGTGTAGCTCCCCCTCTGTTTCCACGGATTCCTTCTCTTGATCCCCCGGTGCTGGATTTGAAGCTGGCTACAGGTGGAAGGCTCCCAGGTAAACAACTTTATTAATGTCCTTGTTTTCTGTCCTTCAGCACCTGATTCTTTTTTTTTTTTTTTTTTGCTTCCACATCTGGAGTGAACCTGGGCAGCCCCATGAGTTTTCTTTGGTGGTAAAGAAAATCAAAGAGCCTAGTGAGGTGATAACCAGGAAATTCGGGTCACTCCAGAGGAATAATGCGTGCCTTCCAGGTCGATCAACCATGGGCATAAAGCAGAGCCAGACGGAGAATAATTATGCCTCATTAATACAAGTACAGTTAAAGATATTTTCCATTATGATGCCCAACTTTCCTTGGGCACATAAGGGCGCATAAATAATTTTCTCCTAGAATTTGGTGCCGGGAAAAAGTTTTGCTACTTTCAAACACTTGGTGAGTGCTTTCTTCTTTCTAGGGAATATTGGCTTACAATTTATTTTCTGCCTCTTTCAAAAAGCAATCATAGGTAATAAAGAAAAAAAATAAATTTAGGATGAAAGAAATGAAAAATGATATTTGAAGATAAAGTAAAGAGGTCGGGAGGCAATCCGGAAAGAGAGACAGACTCAGAGGCTGCAGTGAATTTTCTTCCCTGAAATTGAGCAGTAAATTTAGCTCTTGCCTGGCAGCCAAGGCAGTTAGATAACGTAAGATATTAGAATGTTCATTGTCTAATTAAAGCAGCAAAACCATTTGCTCAGAGGAAGACAGTTTCCCAGAGGTGAAGGGAGACACTGCACAGCCTCGCCTCCTGGTTCCTGCATCACCTGACCCCCTCCCATCCAGGGCACAGAGCTGAGCCCCCAGAGGACCTCCTGGGGTCTGTCCAAGAGGAAACAAAGCAGGCAAAGTAAAGGAGTTCAGTTCTCTGCCTTTTCTTCTATGGGAACAAATGCTTCCGTGGCTCCTTTTAACCCCTTGCCCAGCTCCAGAGTCTTCAGCTAATTAATTCAGAATACCCTCACTCCCACTGGGCCCTGCTCTCCAAAAATCTCTCCTTGTGTAAAGAACTCTTTTTTTGTTGGCAATGTGGCCTGTCAAATCTGCCCTTGTCGGGTCTGCCGAGTGGCACGATGGTTAAGAACTGGTTTGGGACGCCAGGCGGCCCCGGTTCGGATCCCACATATGAGGGCCAGTGACACTGCCCTCTACAGCTAAGATGCTGAAAAACAGCTCAACCTGGAGCTGGGCTGCCATGAGGCGACGGCGTAGGCTGCAGCCCCTGTGTCAGTGGGTTGCCATGGGCTACCGTGTGTAGCCAGCAGCCAGCGTGAGCGGCCAGCAGCCACAGTGAGTGGGCGTCCAGAAGCCGGCGACTGATCTGCCTCACCCGGGAAGAGCACAATGATGGTGCCAACTTGGGCCAGTGAAGCAACGTCCTCCACAACTAGACTGAAGAACAAAACGACAGCAACTTGTCTGTTCCCCTTCCCCCAATTCCCCAGTGCTGTTCCCATCCCCCCAATTCCCCAATAAAAATCTTAAAAAAACAAAACAAAACAGAACAAAAAACTGCCCTTGTCTTGTTATAGCATCGCTCACAACAGCCAGCAGGTGGAAACAACCCGAATGTCCATCGATGGATAGATGGATAAACAAAATGTGTGTAGGCATAGAGTGGAACATTATTCAGCCTGAAAAAGGGAGGAAATTCTGACACAGGCTACAACATGGAGGAAACTTGAGGATGGTATGCTAAGTGACAGAAGCCAGTCACAAAAAGACAAATACTGTATGATCTCACTTATATGAGGTACCTAGAGTTGTCAAGTTTATAGAAAGAAAATGTCGAATAGTGGTGGCCAGGGACTGGGGGGAGCGAGGAATGGGGAGGTGTTTAATGAGTAGAGAGTTTCAGTTTTGCAAACTGAAAGTTCTGGAGATGGATGGGGGTGACGGTTGCACAATGCTATAAATGTGTTTGGGAGTGTACACTTAAAAATGATTAAGATGTTAAACTTTGTGTTATTTGTACTTTACCACAATTAAAAAAAAAAAGAAACATAAACCAATCAGTCAACCAGAAACCAAACCAAACCCAACAACAACTTATCAACTGTTATTACCTTGTTATGGCTCATCAGAGGGGAGCAAAGTGCCCTCCATGGCGTTCCTTTGCACCCCTCCCTCAGAAGCCCCCATCCCATTACCCTAGGCCTTTGGGCTCAGTTGCTCACCTTCTTGTTTTTCTCATACAGATCCTTCAGGAGGGCATCCAGCTCGTTCTCATCAATGTAGCCACTTCCATCCTACCGGCGTACAGAGGGTCAGCACAGAGCTCTGGAACGCGCCCCACGACCCCGGACTTTGCTTCTTGTTTACCCCCACCCATTCCAGGGAGGCCTCAGAGTCTAACCTTCCCTTTGCTCTGTGCAAAAGGAGATGTTCAGACCGCGCAGTGCCAAAATAACACATCGCTTCTGACTTTACCAGTCAACGCAGGAATGGGACAGTTTAGGGCAAACTTTTGGTAGCCTTTCGTTCTGGTGTTTTTATTTGCACTGAAAATATAAGTGAGGTCCAAGAACCATTTAGCTAACTCCCTGAGTGTCACATCTCATCATAAAATGTCACGATGAACACAGGTGCTGTCTGAAGTTTACCCCCAACCCTTTGGTTATAAGGAAGACCACTGGAGTCACATGGGCAGGGGGCAGCTAAGGGAGGGGTGATGGGTGGTACTTTATCACTCACAGCTTCCTAGAAAAACAACCGGTTCTAGTGCCGAATCATGACCTGGCACCAGGGGAGCAGAACTGAGCATCTCCTCCCTCTGGCCCCCAACAATCTAATCACACCCTAGCTTTGAGCATAACCCTCTTCCATGAACTACTTTCTCTTGGGCTTTTAAGGTACAAAAACCTTGGGTCCCACAGGCCACAGAGTGCAATGACACCTATTTTCTCACACAGCAGAAGACGCTGCAGGGAATTAAAAGGGACAGGAAGAAACCACACGGCCCAAGCTGCCCCTCTGACAGCTTGTCTATTCCTAAGGACAAAGTGGAGCCATTCTAGCTGGGGCCTCCCCTGATGGGGCCTCCTGTGTTTCCATTCCACACTGTCCTCCCTCTTACCTTGTCATAAAATGTGAAGATGGCATTGAACTCCTCTGAGGTCAGCTTCATGCCCTGGAAGGACCAAAATATTACAAGGTATTAAAGAGAGAAGCAAAAGCTCTGTGTGTGTGTGTGTGTGTGTGTGCATGTGCAGATGTGTGAGCATGCATGTGTGCACATGCATGTGTGTGTGTGCATGCACATGTGAGCGTGCATGTGTATGTGCATGTGTGTGCACATATGCACACGTGTTCATGCTGGATTAGGGAACAAGAGAATGGAAGTGTGAAGATCACAGGGATGAGGGGAAGGGAGGAAGCCAAGAAAAGCACAGTAGCTCTTTTACCTGAAATTTAAGCAGAAAGTTTTCCTGTACAGGCAAGAGTCTGGAAAGAAAATGTTAGGGCAGAGGTTAGGAGAGCAGAGGGAAGAACAACTCTCATGGGAGGTGGGGGGAGGGGCAGGGCAGGAGGATGAAGAAGCAGAGTCTGTAGTTATGGAAACAACCTCTGAGCGCTTAATAATCTGGAGTCAGTGGAAAGTTCTACAAAGAGGGAGACCAACACATTGAGGTGTTGACCTTCACGATTCTGTCTAGCTTTGTTTTGAGCTTCGTAACACCTGACCTGTCACTTTTCCCACTGATGGACCTTAGGGATATGGGTGGTAGCACAGGGATGATCTTCAGGAGTCTTGTTAAAAGGGACACTGGGGGTGAGGGCAGGCACGTACCGGGACATCTCCGAGAGGCCCAATTTGCCATCTCCATTCAAGTCAAACATCCGTAGCTGTTGGGAACAGAAAGAGGTGCTTGGGTTATTTGCTTTGACCATGTCTCATGTCAGACCTTGCCTGCCATCCCCTTCTACTGGAGAGGGAGGGAGATGGGTGGGGCGTGCTTGCGCCTCTTCTGAGGTCACTGGAGGCCGGGGACCAGCAGAGTCTAAATCGGTCATTGGGGAGGCAATAGGGCCTCGGCCATGGCTCCTCTCTCCTCTCCTCAGGGAGGAGGCCACGGAGGACAGCAGGCCCACACCAAAGGTCCTCCCTCTCCAAGTTTATCCTCTCCTGGTGCTGCCAGAGGTTATCATGGGAACAGATGCTCCTGGTCTCAGTGAGTACCTCAGAGAGAGGGTGTATGGGGGTGTCATGATCTATAGCATCTCTTTTGCCAGCTGCCACTAGACATCACTTCACCTGGGCCCAAAGAATCAGCCAACAAAATACCCTGCAAACCAGAATCCCACTGGCTTGGGGCCCAAGTCCCGTGCCCCTGGGTAGGGAGGGACACTTCTGCCCACTCACTATGGTTTGGGTGTACTCCTGGAGCTTGGGTTCATCATACGGCCGGTTCGCCTTCTTCAGCAGGTCAGACAGGAATCCCTGGAATACAAAAGGCCTCTTCAGAGCTCCTAACTCAGTCAGTCAGCCCGTCACGCACTTAGTTGTTCATGCCATTTAGATAGTTTACATCCTTCATAATTCCCTAACCCCTTCATGCTTGTAGGGTGACCTTGGAGGCCTGGAGGTGGCTCTTACATGCAACCTCACCCCATAGGAAAGGCGGTAGAAACTGACTCTGGCTCCTCAGAGAGCCTAGGATACAAGGCTAAGCAGTGCCTGGAGATCACTGGTTCCAGAGGAACATAGGGTACAAGCCAGACTGCCAATCTGAGGGGATTGCCTTGAGGATGCCTGTCCGGGGCACTACGGGTCGAGGAGTATGGTTTGGTTGAATTCTATGGCCCCACAGCTCCATGTTACTGATTTCACATGGCTGCCCTGAGCCAGGCCTGAGTTTTGAGTCTTCCTAAACTGACCAAAATCCATGTTCCTCACACAGCGTGTCTTCCCTCCCCAGGTTCCTTAAACCCACCAGCACTCTGACCCTAGTCTCATTCTCCACACCCTCCCCAAGGTCCATCCTACCTTGAGCTCATTGGCTTCAATGTAGCCACTTCTGTCTGTGTCGTACTTCCGCCAAGCCTGCAACGGGAATGCCAACCTATTTGCAAAGACCTACTGACATCTGTAAGCCTCCTCCCTTCTTTTCCCTTTAATAAACCAGGCAGGTCCTGCTACTCAAGAATATTACAATGGGGACGGGGATGTGGAGATGGTCTAGCCCAGGGCTTTCCGTGATTCAGACGAAGAAATGAGGGGAAGTATCTTGGCCAAGGTCACGTAGAGAAGGAAGAAAACTGCTGGACAAGGTCTCCCGCTCTTAACTGGCTGCAGGTCTGGGTCTCTTTTTGGATCATCCTGTAACCAGGGTTGCAGTTTCTGAGGTTAGCAGCTCCCACCAGGGCAAGCATTAGGATACGGCGGAGCTGATTTTTGCTGTGCGTTTATAGAGTGTCCTTTCACTGCTTTGAAAGTTTCTTATTCTCTGGGTGGGGGCTGGGGGCAAGGGTAAGAAGCCTCTAGAAGGGGCAGAAACAGGCTTTGGTTACTCTTTACTGTTCTCCCTCCTCCATTTCTCTGTCATGATGCAAATGGCAGCCATGTCTGAAGGTGGAACAGAATTAGTATAATCAGTTTGTTTTGACTATCCCAAGGCCACTCCTCCACTTTTATGATAAAAAGCATCTCCTTATTTTTTCTTTTCTTTTCTCTTCTCCTTCCTTATTTTTTTTATTATTTGTTTTTAAGGAAATCACCTCTCTCCCATGCTCAAGCCATATGGTTCAAGAGGGATTGACCCCATCTTCAGAGGTAGGCATGTGACCTAGGCCTGGATGTTTGGTCTATCCCTGGATCCTGTCTCATACTGGCTCTGGGCTCTGATCTGAGTCCCAATTATTTGGTGCACATGTTGGGTCCCTGTGAGGAACCAGGGCACTTCCTGCTGACCACAACACGGATCAAAGAGACACTGAGCTTCCGCAGGTGACATGGGTATGAACACCTTTTTCCTCTCTGTTCTGGTCATCTGAGCAGGAGCAGACAGTACACAGGAGAAACAAGGAAAAATAGTTGTAGTGGTTTTAAATGTCCACACATTCTTCACTTTCCTTCTAAAGACAGAGGCTAATTCCCCTCTCCTTGAATGTGGACTGGACTTAGTGACCCAGTTTTAATGAATGGAATCTGGTAGATACGACAGTGTGTGACTTCCAAGATTAAGCCACAAAGGCATTGAGGCTTCCTTTTTTCTCTCTCTCTTGGATCACTCGCTTTGGAGGAAGCCTGCTGCCATGTTGTAAGGTCACTCAGGCAGCCTGATAGAAAGTCTCATGTAGGGAGGAACTGAGGGCTCTTGCCAATAGCCATGTGTGTATGCCATCTTGGTAGTGTATCTTCCAGCTCCTGTCAAGCCTTTGGATGACCACAACCCAGCTGACATTTTGATCTCAATCTCATGAGAGACCCCGAGCCAGAACCACTTGGCTAAGCTGTTCCAAAATTCCTAACCACAGAAACAGATAATAAATGTTTATTGCCTTAAGCTGCTAAATTTTGGGGGTAATTTGTTACGCAGCAATAGATAACTAGCACATGGTCCTGAGAAAATATGGCCCTGTATACAAATGCCCTGAAACCCCATTCTTTTATGCAAGGCATCTAGTGGAGAGGAGGGAATACCCTGCGGGGAAGGAGGCTGCCTGTATCTGTGACAGAAAGGCCCAGGGCACCCTGTTTTGCAAACCTTTGGTCTACTTTTGTGCCTGATCATATTTCTTAGATTTTCTTCCAAGTTTTCTTTCCTTGATTTTCCTTCCCTTCTCCCTCAGCTCCAAACTACACACCTGTACACCAGCAACACTGCATTTTCTGAGAGTTGTCAAGCAATAACTTTTTCCAAATTTGATTTCCTGCCTACCCCTCTTCTGCAAATCATGCCCTCCCCCCATTTATTGTCAATAGTGTGAGAGTTTATAGGTATTTTAGGATCTTCCTTCCACACCAGTAAACAAGGCTGTGTAATTCTCATGGTATAGTCGTGGCTTAAGAAATTTGATCCTGATTTTTAAAAAAGTTATGAGACATGAGCAAGTGCCAACAAAAGGGTGGGCTTATACTACAGACAACTTGGGTAGATGGTATATGACTAGGGGAGTGCATTTTCTCTGGGGAAAAAATTCCATTAAAATATTTCTTTCCATGCCCAGAAAGCCTGTCCTTGAGAAAGTAGTAAGAAATACGTGCAGGTTTTCAAAAGTGACTTCACCAACCACCTGTATGCTTTTAGTGCACTAGAATTTAGTTCATCTAGGCTGAGTCTTGACTGGGAAAAAAAGCAGATACCCCCTAAATTGCCGAAAAGGAGGACAATCTGAAGAGACTCCAGTCCTCACACAGAGCAAAGCATCTGGCCTCATTTGGGAGCAAGATCATCCCAGCAGGTCTTACCTCCCTCCTTTCCTCCCTCTCTCCCTCCCTCCCTCCCTCCCTCCCTCCATCCTTCCCTCCCTCCATCTCT